ATTGACTGCATCATACCTAAAGAACAGTAAAGGTTGCAATAGCTGGGACCGTACATATTGATGGTGAGGGGTTTTGTGTGAGACGGGAAAGAGCAATGGTGCAGGAACCAGGAGTGAGAAGCTGGGAGGTCATTTAACCCCTTGTAAAAGTCTGGTGGAGTAAAAGTATCCTTGTGAAGTTTTATCCAAGTCCAGGAAGTGAACAGTTCAGAGAGGAGACTAGTCAATGTACGTTCCTCTCTCACCCCAACTCCCACCTTTTTTTGTGCTAGCATAGCAAATGTTGGCTTTACTCTTCCTAGGATGGCCACTCAGTCCTCAGGGTGGAGTCTGGCTCAGTGGGCAAAGCACTTGTGCAATTTCAGATTCTCAGCACTGCACATAAAAGCTGCATAGGTGTGGTGAGTCTATCTCTAATCCCAGCCCTTGGCAGGGGAGCTAGGGTATCCCAAGGACTAGCCAATTAGCTAGGCTAGCCTAATGAGCAAGCTCCAAGCTTGGTGAGAGATCCATCCTACCTTAGTGAATAAAATGGAGAGTAATTGATGTGACATCTTAATTCAGTCTCTGGCCTCCACACACTCATGCAAACATGCATAAGTGTACAAATCACCGCGTCCACCCCTAAAACAGAAGTCCTTGACCTGAGCCTGCACCTACGCACTAGGCCCATAGCTCTCCTTAAGCTACTGAGTTCCAAGGAGTTAGCTGTCTTTTTTTTTTTTTTCCTTCCTGTTACAACTTGTACTTTGTACAGGACTTCAATTTATCCTGGGTATTTTAGTCAAAGGACTGGGGTGGGTGAGAGGGTGAAGTTGCAAACAGTTGATTATTAAGATGTAACAAGCTAATGGAATCTGAGCATGGTGACCCATACATGTAATCTTGATACTTGGGAGGCTGAAGCAAGAGGATTGCTGCAAGTTCAAGACCAGCCTGGATTACATAGTCCAGTCTGATCCACCGAGTGAGAACACATCATAAGTTTGTTATCCCTCCCACCCTCCCTCCGACCCTCCCTCCATCTCCCCCCCTTCTCTTCTCTCTCTCATTTATGTGTATGGGTGTCTTGTGCGTCTGTGCCCCATGTGTATCTGGTGGAGGCCAGAAGGGGGGCATCTCCTAGAACTGGAGTTAGAGAAGGTTGTGAGCCACCAGCTGGGTGCTGGGAATCCACCCAGGTCCTCTGGAAGCACAGCGGAACCATCTCTCCAGCAACCCCTCTCATCAATTGCTTTTAGAAGCAAAACCAAAATTTATAAAAAGATTTGTGAGATCTGACCTTGTAGTAACAATAACAACAGAATGATGTCAGATAGAAGAAACTAGCACTGTGAGTCTGACGCCTTATGATTTAATTTGTCTGTTGATTTTGGTGACCCTCATGTCCTCCTCTAACTGATAGTTCCATCCCAAGAATTATACTTTATATGATTTATTAGAGTACATTTTAAAAGCACAACAGTCTCTTAATTACACTTAAATTTCTCTATGGGTATGTTTAATATATTTTTTAATGAATAGAAAACATTTTGATTATATCTTTGGAAACATTTGTAGAGTTCAGAAACAGCTTGCAATCAATCAATCATATGGCTGCCAATAGGGTCCTTTGAAAAAAAAAAGTGCTTTACTTTGCAGAATTATAAGCCAGAAAGTACAATGGCATTACGTCAATTCAAAGCATTGGGATTCATCAAGTAATGCACGTGACTGAATTCATGGCTTCTTACATTAGCTACCTCCTTTTTGACCCACACTGACAACCAATCTCTGCATTGCTCATGTACCTCAAGTTAAGTGAGGTACTTATTTTGTACTGCCTGGACCGGTGCTGGTCTCAGCCAATCAGCCTTCTGCCATCTCCCTTTCCTCTTGCCTAGAAAGGTGCATTTCCTCCCTCTTCCACCTCTGTTTGGCTAGGGAAGGAGGGCACGTTCTTTGTCATTACACGTTTTGAGCTGACCTTCCTCTTTGAAATGCCTGAAATCATACTCTTGGCCAGCAAACCCCAAGATGCATGTTGTCATCAAGTAGGACCAGCTGTGATAGAAGGTAGTCCTAATCTATGTAAGCAGGAACTGGGCCTACTGGAACCTTCTTCTATTCCAATCCCAGACAAACAAACCTTATATTCTCCAGGGCTTCTTCAGGTAGGAACATAAGGCCTGGTAGACAAATGACCTCCCAACCTAATTTCAGCCACATGTGATTGTTGTTATGTGCTAAACACTACATGAAATTAACTGTCCTGGGCCTATCTGTGACTTCATCAATAGCAGAATTAACTCCATTTTTTGATGATCAGAGTCTCTCAAATCCTTTCTTAAGGTGTGTGGAATCTGATCCTACTTGGTTTATAAGTAGACATCCAACAGACCTTACAACCAGTGAGTACCATGCAAACCATCAGAAATACTTAGTTCATTTTTCACTCGGATCTTTAAAAACAAAGTTCTCAACACCCAAGTGTCTCACTCATACATTTTATTGGATTTGCAGTTCTGCTTAGTTAGATTATTTAAAATTAGTAGGTCATTTGAATACTGTTAGCATTCCTACTGAAAGGTGCTGGTTGCTGCTTTCTTGGCATCTAATGGTGGTTCTCACCCCGCTCCCAGTTAGTCCAGGCTGTTTGATTTGCCAGCGCCCCTCCTCGTCAGACTTCTCAGGCATGAAGGAGTGCTAAGGTAACTAACGCCCTGTTACCAAGCTTTCAATAACTACTGGATGAGGATGCTGACATTGACATTTTTAGTGTCTCCAGAATCCAGAATTTTAACTTGGGCACGATTAAGGCTTAGATTAAGCTAATAGTGTATTTCATAATGATGTCTTGGTCAGATCTTTTCATATTTTAGGAGTAGAGAATAAAAATTAAATGTTCTTTCTCCACTCCATTTTGGCAAAAGGAGGGGGGAAGTCCTGGGAGGACTATTTTGTAAATAAATATGGATTATTGTCTTAAGCAATAATAACATGCCAAAAAAGGGTCCATGTCTGCATTCCACTTGAACTTCAGTCTTTAAAATGAGCTACCTCGTGTTGAGGAGTGGTGGTTGCTCTGAGGAGTCACTCTCTTCTCTTGGCATCTCAGCATGTCCCGACACACCAGTGGTCCTTCCCCCTGGGCCTGGATGGAAGCAAGCAGGCTGATTCCCACTTGGCCATTCTCAGGGGTCCCATATGAGAGCCCCAGGTGTTGCCAAACGGTGACCCCAGGGCATCTCGAGGAACAACTTCTTTGCTATGGAATGGGATTTCATCAATGCCAGGCTCACCCAGCCCACAAAAATCTATGAATATGCGTGTGACAGTTGGCTGTAAGACAATCAAAAAAGAGGACCACACTGTAGAAGCAGGACACTGAGATGGCAAAGCATCCAAGCCTTTCTGGAATTGATGGGCTAAGAGAACTTGAAGTAAGGAATATTTCCAAACAGGTGTCAGTGGGTCATGGAGACACCCACATGCCCATTCTCCTGAAGGTGATGTCATAAATGAATGGTATCTAAAGGAGCATGGCAGTCATTTTAGAAATCAGTCCTCAGAATTGAAGTCATTTGTCAGCGTGTAAACGATGGCTTCTGTCTATCTGCCAATACAATGCATCCTAGAAGTATTAGACAACTTAAAACAATCACTAAGTAGTTTCAGTGTTTCCGTGGTCAGCTCTTTTCCTCTCACGTTCTAACTGGAGCAAGTCTTCATTAAAGCACACCATAAGTACACTGAGGCCGGCATGAAGCTTGATAAGGCAGGAATGCACTTTGCAAATCTTCAGAACATGGCCTTTCTCATCTCTCCACTGTTGGGGACTATTATTTTAAGGGGTGTTACTTTTGTTTATGGTACATGTGTTTAACTCTGTGAAGCTGTGTTACTGTGCCTGTCTAAAACACCTGATGGTCTAATAAAGAACTGAACGGTCAATAGTGAGGCAGGAGAGAGAAATAGGCAGGGCTGGCAGGCAGAGAGGATAGACAGAATGAGAAATCTGAGAGGAGAAGAGCCAGCCAGAGAAGGAGGAGGACTCCAGGGGCCAGCCATCCAGCTACACAACAAGCCATGGAGTAAGTCAGATTTACAGAAGTGAGAGAACGGGAAAAGCCCAGAGGCAAAAGATAGACAGGATAATTTAAGTTAAGGGAAGCTGGTAACGCTCCATACCATATTTCTTCACATTTTGTCACTAGGGGGAAATGCTGTGTCCTAAGACTTCTCGTGGGGTTGACATCTCAGTGGCTGTTGGTCCAATGCTTTCCTCATCCAATGAGAAAGCGAAGGCTGAAGACCTACCTTCCCTTGCTCCCTCACGTGGGCTCACTCTCCTTAGTGGACTTACTAGTTGTCTTTGCCCCAGGGACTGGCTTAAAAGAAGTAGGTCAAGATTTCCAGTCTTTAAGGTTAACCAGGGAGGGAAAGGCGAGCATGACATCTGTGTTAGGGCATCTGCTTCCACATTCCCCTGGAGATGACTTCAGCTTAGACGATACCCAGTCCAGTGCTGACTCTGATTGTGGGGTCAGCCTGGAGGTACTGCTAGTCTTTGGATAAACTTGACCAACGACTAAGCTTCCAGATAGAGTTCAGCCAGTCTGGAGTCTGAGAAGTGCCCTATGAAGCCTTAGAAAGGAAGCACAAGAACTCTTCCAGCAGGTCTAAGGAACAGCAGTTGAGTTATTGCATCTGTTTGTGTCTAGACAGCCAAAGAGCAAGGCTGAGTTTAGGTGGATGGTGGATGGGGAATTAAGACAGAGAGAGGTGTCTCAAGCCTGCCCTTGAGTGATGGTGAGAGACCAAGAAAGGAAGGGAGCCACTGGCTAAAGGCAGTGCCTCTTTGAAGACTGTGAGTGACAGTGACAGCCACTCTGCAGGGGGCGCCTCCTTGCCTCCTCTCCTGTCATGCTGGGCCCAGACAGCTTAGTGCCGGAGAGTAAAGCTGAGCTCCGATTTTTCTCCCTGATGCCTGGCCAACTTAAACACATCAGGTCCGAAAAGAAGTTGTGCCTTGCTGTGAGGCTTTTCCTGTGACATGTGGCAGTTGGATTCAGGTACTGTCAAGAAAGCAGACACGTCACTCCTGCACACCTATATGACTCCCCAGTCCTGGCACTGTCCTCAGTCTGCCAAGCTGCTGGATTTGGTAATCCGAGTTCAGCACAGTGGCAGGTGGAGTCACAATAAAGCCAGCACCAGGAAGCGTTCGTGGGTGGTACCAATCCTGACTTCATGGATCACCTCGGACAGGTTTGCAGCCACTCCAGGGAGAGAGCACAAGGAAGTCCCCCGACCTGGATATCTTAAGTGCACGTTAGTTTGCATTTTCAGATCTGCTTCTATCTGGGGGCAATACACTTTTACAGAGCTTATTAGAAAACTGGTCTAAAAGAACACATACTTTAAAGAGCATAAAAAAGCACAATGACACCTTCAATCGTAACAGGAAGATTTTTCTGACTCAGGTAAAGGATTTTTCTTTCTCTCAAGGAATACTAACACAGCCAGCTCTTGACAGCAATAGATAATGGCAATGGAGGAATAATGTGACTCACAGACGAGCCCCGGTTGCTATCCGAGGCAAGCATTCCATCCTCTTCCCCTGCCTACCTTCCCAACTTGCTTCTGTGGACTTACTTAAATCTCACTTTTTGGTCCCTGTCTTGACCACTCTTCTGGCAAATGGACTCATGTATGGTCAAAGACAGAGGTGGGGGAAGTGGGAGAGAGGGGCTTAGTCAGAGGCCAAAATAAGCCCCGATTTAGATAACCTGTGGCTGGCAGATGGCCAGTTGGTCCTGTAGTAACTTCCAGATGAACCCGCCGTTTCTGCAGACACCAGCAGGTCCACCAGCCTCACTCTATTTGCCTCCCACTTCTTCCATCCAGAATCACAGATCTCCGCTGGGGCTGGTAAAAACAGCTGGTTGAAGTCTCTAGTCTTTGGCCATTCTTAGGGATGGTCATTTTATTCCTAAGTGTAACCCCTTCTGGTGTGACCCACGTGTTTTCTGCCAGTTCCCCACAGAGAAGGCCAGGGGACACTGTCTGAGTGGGGCTTCTGATAGGGGACAGCAGAACCTTGGAATCTATCATGGTGGATGAGGAGGGCAGGTGGTCCATGATGGGGAATAAGATTAGGCTCTGAGGTCTTCCTGGCCTTGACCTGTGGAAAGGCTTAGGACCCCCAGACGCTCGCTCCAGTTTTGAAGAAAGGACGTTGTCTCCTGACGGCTCTGTCTCTGATGTGCGTTTTCTGCATTGCCCCGTTGCATCCTGTGGGGAGAGCAGACTGGATACCCCTGGTTCTGGAGAGCAGAAGGGCCCCTCAGACATGCAGGGTGTGGTGCTACCCTTCCTCTGCGATGCAAAGGCTCCGGCCTCTTGCTTTGGTTGCTCTTCCTCTGGGCTTTCCAGGGAGGAGGGAGAATCATCTTTGGTGGGTTTCTGAGGGGTCTCGGTGGCTGGACCAGGTTCTTCCCGCTTCCTCTCTGGAGTCTGAGCCCCACCTTCTCCTGCGCTCTGAGAGGGCAGGGGCTGTGGGATCTGTGTGTACTGAATCTTGGGCGGGATGACAGGGACAGCCTTGGCCTGACACATTTTGACCATGAAGGAGGTTCTCACAGCTGACACGCTCACGGGAGCCGAATTCCGGCGGCCTGTCAGAGCATGGGCAACAATGTCCAGGTCCTGGATGTCCTGGGAGTTCCAGGGGGCCGCTTTACCGTGAGAGGAGGTCATCCAGGTGACCTTGGTGTCTCCTAGTTCAGAGAGCTCTATTCCGGGTGAACTAAACGAAGCTCCATTCTCAAGCCGGAAGAGGTCAGTGATGGGAGTGGCCGAGTCCAAGTTGAGGGAAGAAGGCCTGTGTTTCCCCTTTGAGGGCCCACACTCAGTGCTCTTGAGCTGTGACTTTAGGGGGTGCTCCCCAGGTGCGGTGCTGTCTTGAGCTCTAGGTGAACTCTCCATGCTGCGCTCTGGCTCAGGGACATCACTGTGTTTCATCTGAGAGTTGCTGAGTCCCAGCTGCGGTCCCTGCTCCTTTCCCTCGGTCGGACTGATGAAGTTGGCGTCACCTGGTTTGGGCGGTATACCAGATGGTCCCTTCTGGCTGGGAAGAACCTCTAACCCTTTCAGGCCAGAGAACTCCCTGAAGGCTTTCAGGGCTTTTTCCTCCCACCCAGCAGTCTTGTTCCTGGCTGCCGGGGGCTGCACAGGCTCGTAATTCTTCTCTGTTTCAAGATTAGCACAACTGCTGGAGAAGGGAACCTCGAGGGTCCAGTGGCTCTGACCAGTGGTTTTGCTGTCTAGAGAATGGCTCTGGCGAAGGCTGGGCCTGTGGCAAAGCCTCCTCTCCAATCGGTGGCCCTGGGGGCACTGCATCTGGGACTCCTGCACTTCTTTCAGGGTGGGGGAATGAAGAGGGCTGGTCACCCACTGGGGCTCCTCCCACGGCTCTACCATCTCCAGGCCATGCTGAGCAGCGTCTGTCACAGTGTCATCTTCGTCACAGTCCGAAGGCTCTTGGGCTGCGTGGGGGGCGTCCCCCTCTTCTTGTGGGGCGACTTCCACCTCCTTTGTAGGGCTTGGAAGACCAGGGCCTTTGCTCTCAGGGACAGCATGCTTTGCATTTTGCTTCTCGTTGGGGCTTGCGATGGTCTCCTCTCTCTGACAGAGGCTAGGGATGCCAGGGTTGTCTTTGGGTTTGGGCTGCTCTGTGTAGGGATCTGTCCTGGAATCCCCAGATGCATCTTCTCTTTCAGAACCTTCCTTCGACACCAAGACCCGAGGCTCCTCCTCCAGAGGGGTTGGAGGGGGAGGAGCAGGAGGAAGTGGAGGAGAGAGATTTCTCGGGCCTCCTAGCTCTATCCGAGCTGGAGAAGACACCTTCTCAAACAGAAGTATTTGCAGAGGCGCTAGACTGGCTGGGTCTGGGCTGAACCCCGGCTCGGGCTTTGACCCAGGGAGGCTGCAGACTGGCTCCAGCTTCTCTCTATTGCTGAGGATGGCAGCCTCCTGTGTGCTCTGATTGGCTGAGTCCCTAGTCCATACTTCCAGAGATGTAGAGCCACAGGGCAAGCTCCCAGACGCCTCTGGGAGGGGAAATGGGGCTGGACCTGACTCAGTCTTTGGGCTTGTCTTCTGGGCAGGGGGTGGCAATGTCGAGAGCTCCTCCTCCGATTCAATGATTTTCAGTTCCTGTTGAATCTCCGGCCAGATCAGGGCGTGAGCTAGGTCATCTTCATCCTGAAAAACAAGAAGAGGCTGGTTACTTTTGAGCCCAGAACTCTGGGTACTGATGTCTACCAAGAGTTCAGTGAGCAAGGAGGGAAGGGAGTGAGGCCCGTACTCCAGCCAATAAGGAGGCAGCCTCAGTAATAACCATGGGTATCTGAAATATGTTGTGTCTTCCTCTTTAACTTTTTCGATGCCCTCAGAGATGATACCAGGTACTAGGCTCATTGAATAGATTCAACAAATGACCTGAATCATACAGTAGGTCAGGATGGAAAGCCAGTCCTGTCCACAGTGGAACACAGTCTGCTTCTGACCTTCCTTCTCAGCCAGTTGTAAGTGTGAAGGCAATACAGACTCCATCTTAGGGGAGGGCCACCATCTTAGACCACCTGCTGTACTTAGTTCCAGGAAGGACCTCAGGAATGTGCCATGACAACTTGAATTGATAGAAGGCAGTATGTTCCTGCAGACATTCTGTCTGTGGTTTATGGCCCTAGAAGATATCCAGATAATCCTGCTGAACAGCTCAGATAATCCTGCTCAGCGGGTTGTGGTTCCCCGCCAAAAGTCCAACCCAATAGTTTCAAATGTGGTTTCCTGCTGAAAGTCTAGACCAATAGTTTCAAAAAATCTCTTTGCCCCAAATCCCTTCTACCCAATCCCAAGATGGCAAAGCATGTAATTCCCAGCTTGAGGTTTTTCCCTATAAAAACTCTTTACCCCTTGGCCGGCTGCCACTGCCGAATTTCCCTCCATCTGCCTGACGGTGGCCCAGGTTCAAACCTGACAATAAAAGAACCCTTATGTGCTTGCATCCGAAACTGGCTCCTTGGCGGTCTCTGGGGGATTCACTAAACGGATACAACAGTGAGCACATGCTGTAGTCTATCCCAGCAAGTGTTCTGTCACTGAGCTATGTCCTGAACTTTCCACTTTATTTATAGTGCGTTCCTTGCCCTTCATGTCTCAAGATGCAATTCTCCTGTAAGGAGAACCATCTCAGGGAATGTCTTTCTCTCACCAGTGACTCTCTGTGGAAGTCTGATATGCTGCTGGCCTCTCTGCTCGTCACCTGGCTCTGCTTCTAGAGTACTGAGGGTTAAATCTAGGGTCTCACACATGAAGTGTGCTACACCCCCAGCCCCCATTCTCCCTGTTATTTCTTTAAACTCTCCAGTATTACTTGGACAAAAGCAACTGGATTTTTCTTTGCTGCATTCCATTGTGAACAGTTTTGTTCACTAGCTTTTTTCTTTCTTCTCTCTCTCTCTCTCTCTCTCTCTCTCTCTCTCTCTCTTTCTTTCTTTCTTTCTTTCTTTACGAGACAGGATTTCTCTGTGTAGCTTTGCACCTTTCCTGGAACTCACTCTATAGCCCAGGCGGGCCTTGAACTCACAGAGATCAACCTGCCTTTGCCTCTCGAGTGCTGGGATCAAAGGCGTGCACCATCACCACCACCAGGCAACCTTTTTCTTGTTTCCTTACTTTACTCAACATTTACATTCATCAATCACTAAGAAACTCTGTTGTGTTTTCTCACCCTTCCATACTTCCACTTTGCCCTGGATCCTGATTTTTTTCTTGTGAGGCCGGCAGGGACAGGGGTGACAGTCTTGGTCATTGTAGTGACCCTAGTGCTCAGGAGAGCAGAGTGCTTACTTAGCACAAGGTGTGGATTTAGTCCATAGGTTCAGTGAAGGAAAGACCTGGGGCCTTACTTGCTAACTTAAGTTCCCCTAGTTCTTCCTGCACTAATGTTATCTTCCTCGAAGTGCTGTCCTTTGTACTGGGGTGTCAACCACCACAGGCTCTCTGCCCATGCAAACATGCTCTATGGCTCGGGAGGCTGAGACAGGAGGATCGCTTGAGTCCAGGAGTTCTGGGCTGTAGTGTGCTATGCCGATCAGGTGTCTGCACTAAGTTGGGCATCAATATGGTGACCTCCCAGGAGTGGGGGACCACCAGGTTGCCTACAGAGGGGTGAGTTAGAAGAGAGGCAGATTCCCAAACACCTGCTCCTTCTTCTAAGAAGCAGCAGATTCAAACCACTTCTGAGTGTGCTGTGCTGTGGATATCATTCTATATAAATAAACACTGATGGCCAGTGACCAGGCAGGAAGTATAGGCGGGACAAAGAGAGAGGAGAATTGGGGAAACAGGAGGAAGGGGGAGAGACACTGCAGCCGCTGCCATGACCAGCAGCATGTAAAGATGCCGGTAAGCCACCAGCCACGTGGCAAGGTATAGATTTATAAAAATGGGTTAATTTAAGATAAAGAACAGTTAGCAAGAAGCCTGTCACGGCCATACAGTTTATAAGTAATATAAGCATCTGAGTCATTATTTTATAAGTGGATTGTGGGACTGCGGGGCTTGGGGAACCTGGAGAGAAGCCCTCCAGCAACAGTGCTGTCTATCATTTGCCGAATCCTTGCCTTCCTGACTATCCAAGCCCTGGTTCTTCTATGGTCATGGTACCCCCTATTGGCCAGTCCGTGGCACTATGGGAACTCTTGCTCAGCCCTCCTGAGCCCACCACATCACCTCAGCTTTGTCCAAACTGCCCGACATGGTCCTCTTGGTGGTGGCTTCTGGAAGTAAGTTAAAATGCTGTAGGCTTCCTTTATCTCTCAGCATATGCTGCTGGTTATGGTTCTTACAAAAGCAGGACTCCTCCCTGGGTGTCCCCAGAAACACCTCACACCTTCTATGTAAAGACATCCCATAAAAACACTCATGGAAAATACCACCCCTAAAGAATGGGTAAGGTCTGTCAGCTTTGGGGTCAGATTTGAACTTTTCTAAAAACAGAGACTAGAGCCTGGAAATGTCTCAGGTTTTACAGACAGCCCAGGACAAACACCAGGCTGGGATGTCGGAGAAAAGAGAATGAGGTTCATGAGTGGTCATCTTGCGTGGGACTGGGATATAAGGAGCAGCCTTTGTGATGTGTCTGAGGTTGAGTGTCATTACGTTCTAAGGACATGTCAGTGGTTTATGGGCCAGAAATATTCAGAGTTGTGTCTGCCTTGGGAATCTGACCTGAATGGTTTCCTTTGCATCATGGCGGGATCTCCCAGAGGCCTGCAGCAGAAAAACCCCAGGCTGAGAAGTGAGTTTTGTTTGTTTTGAAACAGGGTCCCATACATGCCAGATTAATGACCTGAGACCATGGTCCTCCATTTTCCACCTCCTAAGTGATGGGGTCATAGGTGTATGCCATCATTCCTGCCTAAGAAGTGAGACTTCTAAAGACTCCTTAAAATTTATGTAGAACTCCTAGCCACTCTCCCAGCTGTATGGCTGCACATGCACCATCCAGTAGCCCGGCAAGATGCTTAGTCATCCCAGGGTCTTACATTCTACATAATTTGTGCACTGTGTGATCACGTAAATTGTGTGCAGTGTGATCATGTAATCTATGCACATGTGTGGTGTAGCTATGTAAGCCCATATGTGCATGTGTGGGCAGAATCTATAAAAGCAGGTCCCACTTATCCCTCCCCGCCTTCCTGCATGATCATTCCCATAGGCCTATCACATCCCTTCTGTTCCCTTCCCTTAATAAACTCTTAGAGTGGGTTTTGTCGTACTTTATGGCTTTACTCGCATAGTAAACAGCGCTGCTTAATGAATAACATTGCGCCGCTTAATAAATAACACCACACACACACACACACACACACACACACACACACACACACACACACACACACATATGATTTATATAATATATGTATGGGGCTAGGAAGATGGCCCAGTGAGTAGAAATGCTAGCCTTGCAAGCCTGACAACCTGAGCCTGGTCCCTGGAGGCCACATCAAGTGCACATCTGTAGTCCCAGCACTCTTGTGGTGAGATAAGAGGTAACTAGAGGGAAACTGTTTGGAAGCCTGGGGGCTGGTCAGCCTGCACTACACAGTGCAGCAGCAGCAGCAGCAGCAATAAGAGGAGCCCTGCCTGAACAAATAAGGCAAGAACAGACTCCCCAAAGTTGTCCTCTAACCCCACATATACATGCTATGGCACACATATGAAATAAAAACTTTAAAAAAGTAAATGAATTAAAGAAGTCTCTCTTGTAGAAACTCTCCACATTTTTTTTTTTAAACCGCTTTAAATTGTACTATTTGTGGCGGGAACAGGCAGAGTCCACCTTACCATCTCATGGAGAAGCATCGCTTCGGTCCTGGCCCTGAGGCTCTCTTGTGGAGCGGTTGTCTTCAGCTGGCCAGCCCCCTGGCTGTCCTCCACCACCTCCTCTGCATTTGGCCTCTTCTCGGATTCCCTTGAAAGTTGAGAGCCCAGGGATATTTCCAAGGATTTCTTCTCCGCTTGGGTACCCGGGACCAGGGAAGGGCCTTGGCTACATTCTGCTGGCCCCAGGGCTTCGGGTTCTGGCACGGTGTCCTCAGGAGCTGCCTTCTTAGCGACTGAGGCTGCGGTGAGGATGCGAGGGATCAGTACAAAGAGTTCGTTTCACGAAGGCACTTGCAACACCGTCCTGCCCCCTAGCCCTGCTTCCCAGGAACTGGGGACTTCTCTCGACTCACTGCCCCCTCCTTCTTTACGCTCTTCTCTGGACCACGTTCCTGCCTCGGATCCCAGCCATCATCTAGTCCAGTGGTTCTCAATTGGGAGCCATTTTGCTCCAAATTCCCCCAGCCCTCCAGGGGCATTGGCAATGTCTGGAGACATTTTTGGTTGTCACAGCATTGGAGGAGACGAGTCTTATTGGTGCTTGGAGCACAGCTTTTGAAGCTGTGGGTTGTGCCCGCCTATGAGGTCATGTAACTGAATGTGCAGGTCGTAAAAATGTTGGCAAGAGTGGAAAGGTTTCTGAATAGACAGCGGCCAAAAGGAATTCAAAATCAAATGGACGGTGAATCTGGGACGATCCTTGTAGTGCCCAACTGTGTAGCATTGCACAGTTTCACGGCAGTCTCGGTTCTGAACGCTGTGTTGCCATCATGCCAAGCGACACCAGCAAATACTGGCTGTTACACCCTGGTTCAGATTTGAGATTAACATGCCAGGAATTGCAAATTGCAATGTTTGAGGGGTGTGTGTATGTGTGTGTGTGTGTGTGTGTGTGTGTGTGTGTGTGTGTGTGTGTTTACCCACATGCTTGCTATGAGGTTTTGGGAAAATTATTTATTCCTCTCCAAGCAAATGGAGATTATCTAATAATCATTATCCGTACCTCTGAAGGTTGCCTTAAGAAGGGAGATTATACATGCAGCACACTTCGGCTATGCCCAGCAACCTAAGAGCTACTGAAAAGCACCAGTTTTGGTTGAGATAGAAACATTCGGTTGGTCTGACTGTTAGCAAACCTTTCTGTTGAGATTCCCCCTACTTCATTTTAGGACTGTCGTCAAAAGAGTCCTTTCTAAGTGGTTCAGGCCTATAATCCGAGCATTAGGCAGGCAGAGACAGTGGGATCCTTTGTTGGAGACCAGCCTGGCTACAAGGGAAGAAGCGTGGAGCAAGAACAGAAACTCCTGCTCACCATGGTCACAGTTCAGGGACTGTATCAGCCTTGGGGTGTGAGAACCCACCAGACTTACTCCGCGATTGCGGAAATGAAACCTAAGGAAGCACTTTCTCACGGCTGGGTTTGCTATCCCTATCCTTTGCAGATATGAGGTAGAAATGAGGAGGGATGGATGAATAGAAAATACATCCAGAAACACAGGCCCGTCAATTCCAGCCCTGTAGCTCAGCATCCCACGACTTCTCACTCCTGAGTTCTCACCGTGTGTGCTAATAAAGTAGTAAGTAACCTTTACGGAGTACTTATTATGTATTGGACGCTGCTCTGAGATCTTTGCATGTGTTAACCAAACGTTCACACAAACTTACAAGTAAGGTATGATTATTAACATCAGCATTTTATACATTAAGAAACTGAGGCACAGGGGATTAACTCGGTGAAAATCCACGGCAGAGCACGGGTTTGCAACAGCCAATGGCCCTAGAGCCCGCCATCCCAACCACCTCCCCACACTGCCTTGCACATCCTATGGAAGCCACTTCAAACCTGGTGTTCTATCTTTTTTTTTTTTTTTTTTTTTTTTGGTTTTTTGAGACAGGGTTTCTCTGTGTAGCTCTGCGCCTTTTCCTGGAACTCACTCTGTAGCCCAGGCTGGCCTCGAACTCACAGAGATCCGCCTGGCTCTGCCTCCTGAGTGCTGGGATTAAAGGCTGCGCCACCACCGCCCGGCCTGGTGTTCTATCTTACAACGGAGCGAGACCCGTCCTGTCCCTATTTTACCTGGAAAAGACTCAGCTCCCGGAGGCTTCTCCTCTTCTGGCCACCCTCCGCTTTCTGAACCTTGGAAAGAAAACTCTTCTAGGCTGGAGAGAGACTGCAGCTCTTTGGGGGGCGTTCTGCACGGGGTGCTGTTGGTGCTGATGACCGCAGACACGCGGAGGGGCACGGAAACCGCGAAGGGCTCGGAGATGTTGAGCGCCTTTCGCTGGTGGCGCGGTGAGGGCTCCATCTGGAACAGGCTGCTGGTGAACACGGATTTGCCGGGACTGTCGTTGGAGGTGTAGAACATCCCCAGGAGCTTCGGGGCGGACTGCTCGCTCTCAGGGTCTCCGATGGGTCGGAACACCTTCAGCTGCTCAGGCAGGGGCCGGATCTGACCGCCCACCTCACAGCCCCCCTCGGCCCCAGCCGGCATCCCCTCCTGACCCCATTCACTCTCCTTGCTGAGGTCACAGGAGCTGCCGGCGCTGCCCGTGTGCATTTTTGTGGCTGGAATGAAAAATCCACCAGTGGTGACTGTTCGATTGAAATTCCCTTTGTTTTCTTTGCCTGGTGAAGAAGAGCAAGCGGTGGTTAGCATCCTGGGTGTGCGCAGACCACGGCTGGGGGAGCCGCTTTCCTTGAAACTTGAGGCTGGGCCTGATGGTTGTTCAACAGAAAGTGGAGGAGATACTAGCAATTCGTCCACCAAGGCAAGCACAAATGTCAATCCCTGTCATTTGGCGATGGGTATCAACTCATATGTAACCTGCTCCAACAGGTAATACATAGCAATTACCCAACTCGGCTGGGTTAGTGTTTGTCAACTTGACACAAACCTGGACACATTTAGAGACTCTTAATTGAGAAAATGCCTCCATCATATTGCCTAGAGGCAAACCTGTGGGACATTTTTTTTTCTTAATTTAGTGATTGATGTGGGAGGGCCCAGCTCACTAATGGGTGGTGCCATCATCCCTGGACAGGTGGTCTTGGGCTGCATAAGAAAGCAGACTGAGCAAGCCACAAGGAGCAAGCTAGTAAGCAGCACCCCTCCATGGCCTCTGCTTCAGTTCCTGTCTCCAGGATCCTGCCTCAGGTTCCTGCCCTGACTTCCCTGAGATAGTTGCAAGATAAATAAGCCCCTTTCTCCCCAAGCTGCTTTTTGTCACGGTGTTTTATCACAGCGTCAGTCAGTGTTAGCTGGCATGAACTAGCCTATCAGTTCAAAATGTCAACGGAAGCACTGTGAAACTCACGGTCAGGAAACTCACAAATTCAAGACACATAACCATCATGGAATAAATCAGTGTTTGGCTTCCTTCTAGGTTCCCTCTGTCTTAGTTTTTAGCTTGTTGACCTTCGCTGTGGTCTAATTTTGAGTGAAAAGTCCCTATGGTCCCCTCTGTGGTCGGAGGAAAGTTGGAAAAAGGGAAGGTTCTAGACCTTTTTTTTTTTTTAAAAAAAAAACAATTTATTTATTTTTATTTTATGAGTATTGGTGGTGTCTGCACATGTGTCTGTGTGAGGCTCTCAGATCTTGGAGTTACAGATAGTTGTGAGCTGCCATACGGGTGCTGGGAATTGAACCCGGGTCCTCTGGAAGAGCAGTCAGTGCCCTTAACTGCTAAGCCATCTCTCCAGCCCTCTTTTTTTTTTTTTTTTCCTTTGGGATGAACTAGGGAGTAGTTTGGGGCTAGGTGGTCATGTGTGAACATGACTGCAGATAATTAGTGACTGGACACTAATTGTAGAATCTCACTGTGATGATTCAAAAGAGAACGCCCCCCCCCCATACACTCATATATTTTCATCATTATCCCTAATTGGTGGACTGATCAGAGAAGGATTAGGAGGTGTGGCCTTGTTGGAGGAAGTACTTAAGTGGGGGAGGGCTTTGAGGTTTCAAAAACCCACACCAGGTCCAGGGTCTCTCTCTTCCTGCTGCCTGTGAATCAGGATGTAAAGCTCTCAGCTACTTTCCCAGTACCCTGCCTGTCTGCATGCCATGACGCTCCCTGCCATGACTACAACGGACTCTCTGAAACTATAAGCAAGCCCTAAATTAAACGCTTTCCTTTATAAGTTGCCCTTGGCCATGGTGTCTCTTCACAGCAGTAGGATAAGAACTAAGACACTCACCTTCCACAGGCACTGAACACAGTGAGTCCATGCTTTTAGCTGGTCGGATAGTAGCCTTTTCCACTAAAGATAAAAGAAAAAAAAAAATACCCCTGATGAGTGCATACCAAGAAGAAACATTCAGAACAATAGGTCAGGCTATAAGCATATGAGAAAAATTTCCAGGAAACTGTTTCAAGTAGTTATAACATATTTTCTCCTTACAGAATTGCCCTGACTCCCCTCTACATGTCCCCACTTTCCTAATGGGGACTGACCTTATAACAAGAGGGCACAGATTAGTCTTATTAATATTTTACAAGTAAAGGTAAATTGTAATTTTGTCAAATGAGAAGTCCTGAGTCCAGTTTAATTGTACAAAAAGTGCTGAAGGAGTTGGAGCAAAGGCTTTGTGGTTAAGAGTTCCTTTTTCAGAGGACCCAAGCACCTATGTGGCATCTCCCAATTCCCTGTAACTCTCGTCCTAAGGTATCTGATGCCCTCTTCTGGCCTCCCAGGGCACTGCATGAACACAGTGCACAGACATACACGCAGACAAACATCCACACACATAAAATAATAAAAATAATTTTAAAAAGTACTCAAGATTAATTCATGGGGTAGACTTGAAGGGACCTGGGAAACCTCTCTTATCTGGCACACTGGAGAGCGGGATTGTTGGCTGCCACCATATCTAGCAGCATCAGGAATCTGGTACGTCAAATGAGAAGGCTGTGTGCGTGTGTGTGTGTGTGTGTGTGTGTGTGTGTGTGTGTGTGTGTGTGTTCATCATCTTTCCCCCATGGGCTATGCTCCATAGAATTTGTAGACTGGTTGTTCCTCACCCACCAACCTCCCTGATGAACAGATTCCTACCAAACAGGAATCTCTTTGAACACAGACTTTGCACCTGGTATAATTTGTGCATCTATGCTACCATGGATGGGGCTTGGGGGAAGTGTTGGTTTAAATGAGTCAAGAACCCATCACTGGCACAGGAACAGGCACTGCTGTGGTAGGAGTATGATCCCAAAACGTTCATAGATTGGAAGCTTAGCTCTTCAGTGCATCAGGGTTGGAGGAGTTGGGTTACGGAGGCAGAGACCTCACAAACGGCTTAACGGCTTTCTCACTGAGATGGGATAGCTACTTCGAGAGTCTGCCCTCTTTCTCTGGTCCCCATTTATGTGCCTCCATTCATTTTCCACCATATACCGAAGCAGCATGAGGCTCTCACCACAAGTCAAGGAGATGCCAGCCCTGCCATGCTCTTAGACTTCCTATCCCAGAGAACTATGAACTACTGTTCTTCATAAGTTACCCAGCCTCAGGGGTTCTCTCCTGCAGCAAAGGAAACAGGATTAGGATCGATATTCCTTCCAGGTCAAGCTTGCTAGGAGGGAGACGAGGACCTGGATGCTAAGGAGCGCAGGACTAACTGCCATCAAGATAACTCTGGATTTACACAGATCTGGGTTTGAGTCACCGCTGCTGCTTTGCAGCTGTGTGACCTCAGACATGCAGCCTTTTTTGTTATACTTTTTTGCTCTTTCTTTCTCTCTTTCTTTCTTTCTTTCTTTCTTTCTTTCTTTCTTTCTTTCTTTCTTTCTTTCTTTCTTCCTTTCTTTCTTTCTTTCTTTCTCTCTTTCTCTCTTTCTCTCTCTCCCTTCCTTCTTCCTTTCTTTCCTCCTCCTCCTCCTTCTTCTTCTTTTCCAAGACAGGTTTCCTCTATGTAGATCTGGCTGTCCTGGAACTCACTCTATAGACCAGGCTGGCCTCGAACTCACAGAGATCCACTTGCCTCTACCTCCAGAGTGCTGGGATTAAAGGCGTGCAGCACCATGCCCAGCAGATTATACCTTTTTCATGTATAAAAGACAATGGAGTTGTTAAGACGAAATGAGAAATGACTATAGAGTAATCGTGTTGTTCTAAACCAGAATAAATAATTAAAAATAACACACAGTGAGTTCCAGACCAGCTAGGGTTACAGAGGGAGATCCTGTCTTACAAAACAAAAGAAAACATACTGTCTACGACTGTTTCGACCAGCCAGTGCTCACCACAGGGGAAGACAGGCGGCTGTTCCACAAGAAGCAGCCGGAGCTGGCACTAACTCAAACTGGGCAATAACTCATGCCTTGTTTAGTCCTCTTTTTAGAATTCCCCCTCTTTTCCCCCTTAATCCAAACGCTCCTCTTCTAAGAGGTTCTGATTTAGACAGTTGGCCTCCTCCATTTGGGGATTCTCTGACTCGGCCACATGGGAGGAAAGCCTGCCTCTGCTTCACTCAGGCTCTCCAAAGCCTCGAGAGCCCCCAACCTCCTCACTCTCAATAGCTATGCCAAGATTTTTCCCCTTCGAGAGCTGCTGTTTGTACAGGATCATACGCTGATTTATCATCTTAAAGCTGCCTGGCTGGCGTCCCTCGTCTGTCTGTGTATTCTGAGCAACGCTTTGCCTTTGGTTCCTGTATCTCTCTGTCTCTCGACTCTGGTTTCCATGTGTTGACCTTAAGGGGCCGGAACCAGGTAATCATGAAGTAACCCCCAGTCAGCGCATTCCATCCATCCAAGCTCTGTAGCTTCCACCAATAGCTCCCTCCTGCATCCCAGATAAGAACTCTACTGAACTTCAAATCCTCAGCTCTCACCCCCTTTGTGGTCTTGGTCCCTTCTGATGATTCTTTCACTCAAATGTAAAGTCTCCAGCCCCGTGGCTTTAGGGTTCTTCTGCACAGGAGTTTATTTTAACATAAAACAAAATTTAAAGATTGAAATCAGTGTCTGGAATTTGCTTCAAAGTTTATGCATCTGCGTTCAGTCACTACTTCATTTTTTCCCTTACACTTTCTTGTCTGTTTAGTTTGTTTGAATGTGCTGGAACACGTCCCTCTCTCCGCTGCCAACCTAATAAACTCCCAATAGTATCCATGGTTAATCAATTTTTAAAATGCCCTTTGGGGGTTGGGAGATAGAGACAGGTGTGTGTGTGTGTGTGTGTGTGTGTGTGTGTGTGTGTGTGTTGGGGGTGGGGTTTCTTGTCATTCAGTCTAGCCAAAGTTGTTCAGTGAGAGACCATGTCTTAATATAACAAAACAAAATAAGGCGGAGAGCAATAGAGGAAGACACCTGGCATTAACCTCTAACCCCTACATGCGTGGGCACATGTACTTGTACACATATGTGCACACACCCAAACATACTCCACACACACATACAAAATTTTTAAATACCCTTTGCCATGGAAAATTTAACACCTTGTTTACATATGTGAATCCACCGATTCCCCCTTTCATATTCACACACGAAAGTATTGCCAGCCCATGTGCCACTAAGCGACCACACTGGAAGATTACTTTATGGACTTCGGTGGCCTCTCTTTGAGTCTATATTCTGTCCACTAGCCACACCTTGCAGTCCTGAGCTTTAGTTTCTGGCGGTCTGAGCAGTGCTGTTCTGGCTAAAGCAGCCACTCTACCGACCAGGAGTCACTTGTGTCGACATCCACCGATGTCATTTTCCTCCTACATCCCACCAAGGCTCAGCTGGCTCGGTTTTATTTCTAGTCAGTTGGTTCTAAGACTTTAACCCAGTGACTTCCAACCCTGATTGGATAGTAGAACTACTTAGGGGGCTTTTAGAAAATCCCGGATACTCAGCCCTTGCCACAGACCTCTCGAGCAGAAACTGCTGTGGCTGTGAGCCACCTTCTGGGGGACCTGAGAGACTACCCTGCTGAGCACATGACACCTCATGAACTCAACCACCATTTGGTCCAGCACCTTGGGTTTGTGCCTTTTGAAAAATTACCTGGGGGTAGTAAAACTCTTTCTGATTCAAGATCACAGCCCATCATGCATTTCATCTTTGTTCATTTTGTTCTCTTGGGTTTTGTCTTTTTATTTCTGGCCTCTCCCATTCTGTAACTAATCCTCTCTTTGATGTGCTTAGGCAATCTCTCATCACAGACGAGGCATTTCCTGTCAGGTACTCACACTTCCTCCCACACTGTCCTCAGAGAGTCCTGATTTCTTATTTGTGTTAGTTCAGCATGCTGTGACACTCAGTCCTTGTCACTTGGATAGTTTTGCATTTGGTGAAAGGTGTGTTTACCACACAACTGTTACAGATGGCTACCCAGAATCCCTTTCCTTTGCCCTCTTTACAGAGTTCTTGTACTTCTAGGTTTAATTTCCATTCCTCGTACCAGTGGTTGGTTCAGAACCCAGGTTAATCAGCCCCAGGAACCCCTTTGGCTACATGGACTGGTCCTGTGACCCAGTGAAGGCTCCCGAGACCAGGGAAGACTCAAGGCAGGACACTTGAGGAGAACTGTTGAGCAAGCTACCAGAAATGACATTCCTTTTGCCTTTGGGGACAGTGATGCTCAAAGAGAAAAGCTGTCTCTCGTTACCACAGCCAAGGAAGGCAGTCTAGAGTCGTGCTGACATGGAGAGAACAGAAGAGCTGGGGAGGGCAGGATGAAATGGAGACACAGCCACCGTGGCAGGTCACCCCTAAGTCTTCTCTCTATCGGAATGCCCAGTTCTGTCCCTGAACTGACTTTATTCTTATTCGTAGTAGAAATCACTGTGATGGCTGTCTGCTGTACATCCCTGTGGCAGGTAAATATGACTCAGGTTTCTAATATTTCTATTTTCTGGCCCTTGTCTCGAAATTATCACTCTGTCTGCATAAAGGCGTTAGAGATATCGCCTCTCATCTTCCCTGCAGGAGTTCATTTCTTCCCAACACTTACTGGATATTTCAGACATTGATGAAAGTTAAAGGCTTTTCTACACCCACCATCTAGTTTCAATGGTTATTGGCATCTTTCTGTGTATTTGATTTGTCCATTCTATACCTACTTTCCCCTGAATTATTTGAAAGTGAGTCTTGATATTTTGACATTTCATCTAAGTACTTCAACTATAGCATACACCTCCCAAGAACCATTAACACACTATAAAATTTAATAATTCTTCAAAATCACCCAGTAGCCAATGCATACCCACAGTTTCCCATTGGTCCTTAAAATTGTCTTTGTAGCTTTTTTTTTTTTTTAAGAAAATGAACAAACCAACCAGATGAGATTTGATCCTTGCATTTGTGTGTCAACATATTGCACTAAATCATTGTGGAGGTCTCCCTTGGCCTTCCCTGACACAATATTCAGGATGGGTTGACTAGATTCTGTATTATGTAGTGGTTCCCTCAGTTCCTCCTTTTATCAGTTTCTTTTCTTTGCTCAGAAATAAACCCGTGGGGAAGCACCCCATTTATAATCACAACACCGAGGGTGAAGGGACAGACCTTCTTGACAGCAGAATTCCAACTAATAAACAATAGCTACTTAGGGAAATTATAGAAATAACTGTTGCGGGCAAGACCTAACCAGTGCTGCTGAAATATATGACATACAGTACTTTAACCACGTCACCTAAACCAACTTTACAAACAAAAAGGCTTCGGAATCATGTACCTCTCGACATGACCCAGAGGTGGGCAGGACACAGCCTTTGTAGAAGATCTGGAAATTTTCATAACTTTAGTCTCCCTACAAGAAAACCTCAGTCACGCCCAGATGTGGGAACAGTTCTACAATATAAGGGATGATGTTCTTCTAAAGTATCACGTTGAGAGATCTTGGAGGAGACTGAGGATGTTTGAAGATGTACTTCATACCAAATGAAGTATGAATTCCAGGTTTGGACTTGGAAAAAGTCCAGAAAAAGACATTAGTGAGACAATTGGTTAAGTATGACTTTTAAGACACAGAAATCAGTTAATAGTATTGTATTCATATTATCCTTTTGTTTTGATAATGGTTTTATAGTCATAATGTTAACATTAGGGGATTTCATGGAAGGTCTAGATATTGAACATTTTTGTAAGTAAAACATTATCATCATCATCTTAAAAAAAAAAAACAATGAATCTGATTTTTTTTTTCCGAGACAGGGTTTCTCTATGTAGCTTTGCGCCTTTCCTGGAACTCACTTGGTAGCCCAGGCTGGCCTCAAATTCACAGAGATCCGCCTGCCTCTGCCTCCCAAGTGCTGGGATTAAAGGCGTCCACCACCACTGCCTGGCAAAGGTTTATTTTGTATACAGTGTTCTGCTTGCAGGTACGTCTGCAGGCCAGAAGAGGGCACCAGATCTCTTTATAGAAGGTTGTGAGCCACCATGTGGTGGTTGGGAATTGAACTTAGGACCTCTGGAAGAACAGCCAGTTCTCTTAACCTCTGAGCCATCTCTCCAGCCCTGATTTTTTTTTAATAGCTAATGTGAAGTGATCAAGTATGAAACCTAGCTAAGAACCACAGGTGCCATGGTGCTGATCCTTACCCGAAAGCCTCTGCCCTCTCACGAACACACTCCCATTTCTGCTCAGCTTGGATTTCGAGTCCGATCCAGACCGCCCCAGGTTAAATATTGATTTCCACTTCTTTGATTTACTGGAAAGCTTTCTCCTAAAATAACCAAGCCACACAGGTTAGCTGAACTTGTCATTTCAAGGCAGTGTTTCGTTTTGAGACAGGGTCCTCAGTAGACCAGGCTGGCTTGAACTCATGAACTCTGCCTCAGTCTCTCCAGGGGGGTTGCAAATTGAGAGAGAACATTACAGTTACAGTCTCAGTCACGAATGGCTTTGATAGTTCCAGAAGTTTCCCTCTAAAATCCAAGTTACACCTGACTATAGCCTGTCTGGGGATGCCCTGAGTGTCTGTCAAAGGCAGGGGTGGGAGACAGGAAAAGGCAGTGGTCAGTGGGATGCTCAGAACTCACAAGCAAACGCACAGTTCTGAAATCTGGTAAGAAGTCTACGGAGCTCTGTAGTTCTGACTCTTCAAACATGCCAAAGTTTTTTTTTAAAAAAGAGGAGTAAACAAGCCAGAGGCGGTGGTGGCGCACGCCTTCAATCCCAGCACTCGGGAAGCAGAGGCAGGTGGATCTCTGTGAGTTCGAGGCCAGCCTGGTCTACAGAGTGAGTTTTGGGACAGCCAGGGCTAGGTAGAGACACCCTGTCTCAAACAAACAAACAAACAAACAAACAAACAAATGAGGAGTAAACAATTAGGACCATAGATCCCAGTTCTGTGCTTTCTGCCTGGTGGCCATATGGCTAGGATATGTACAGGTGAGGGCTAATAAACACTCAAAATGGAAGGATGAGAAAGTAAACCAGTAAAAGAGTGTGTTCTCATGCTGCTGGGGAGAGCTGTGGCCTGCCAGCTAGGCCAGTGGTCTTTGTAAAAAAAAAAAAAAAATGCACAAGGGTCAGCAGCTCCTGCTCAGCCTCCTACCAGGTTGCTTGGGGCTGGGGATGAGGGATGTGGGTAGGTGTCACAGCGTCAGGCTGGCTCATGAGAACCTGGTACCACTAGGGGTCACCACTGAGGCAGGTCCTGCTTCAGATCCACCCAGTCCCAATCTGGAGTGAAGTTCGGGATGAAACCCTGTAACTTGGGGGTTCTCACAAGGAACCCTTTCTCTACAGGGCCCTCGCCACCCAGCACTGGGTCTCGGCTTTAGCAGGTCTTCAGGATCAGTCAGAGACAGGTTTGCTGGTCTCTCTCGGCCTTGGCTTGCTAGCCTGCCCACTTAGCCTTGGGGTGTAGGAGCAGCACATATTAAGCTGGTATGGCGCTGTGGCTGAAAGCAGAGACCATGCAGGGGATGGTTCCTTCTTCATCCCTGAGAGGGAGTCTTGTTCTGTGTTGATTTAGAGAGGTGCTGTGTGTTTAGTTCTAAGAGGGTACCGTCCACCCGCTCTAGGAAGCAGTGTTTTCCCAGGGAAGTGGAGGCATGCCATTCCTACAGCACACACTTCTTCTAGTTACCCAGGGTGGCAGATTTCTTCCTCCCCAAACAGCCTGCTATCTTGGGGGAGGGACTGGCTCATGAAACAGAAAGGATGACACCATCCAATGAAAGGTGCCTTCGCCTACTGGGCCTACTAAAGGTGTACGACACTTCCTCCAATCACCGCCTTCTTCCATGGTGGGGTACAATGATTGGATAGAGACTAAGGTTGTAGTGGAAGAAGAAATAAGAAAGAAGCTGCCCCGTGGTACCAATGTTGATTTGTTTTGAAAGGGAGATGGTAGGCCGGGCGGTGGTGGCGCACGCCTTTAATCCCAGCACTTGGGAGGCAGAGGCAGGTGGATCTCTGTGAGTTCGAGGCCAGCCTGGTCTACAGAGTGAGTTCCAGGAAAGGCGCAAAGCTACACAGAGAAACCGTGTCTCGAAAAACAAAAACAAACAAACAAAAAAACAAAAAAAAAACCCCAAAAAACAAACAAAAAAAAAAAAAAAGAAAGAAAGAAAGAAAGGGAGACAGCTTAGTTAATAAGGTGCTTGCCACTCAGCATGAAGACCTGAGTTGGAGCTGAAATCCCAAGTAAAAAGCTGAATATGGGGGTGCATGCTTGTAATCCCAGTGCCTGGAAGGCAAAGACAGGTGAATCCTTTGGGCTTATGGACTCGCCAGACTAGCCTACTCCACGAGCCCCAGGCCAGCGGTGAACCATGTTTTAAAAGAGAGACCAAAAAGGTAGGTAGTGTCTGAGGACCAAGCTGTTCCCTGGCCTCCACACACCTGCAAGTCTGCACACACATGTCTATATGAACACATACAAGCATGTGTATAGACAGACAGAAAGGAGGGGGGGGGGTGTTCTCTGGCAGGTTGAGAAGACGCAAGGAAGTCAGACATGCCATCCCCAAGTGCTGCCACCAAGAACTCTCTGTCTAGAGTGGCACCATCTGTCAACCTGTATTCTGTCGTCGTCGGCTCATTTTTATGCCTTTTCCAGTGGTCACGCAGGGGTGGAGGTCATGGGGAGGGAGGCAAATATTCATCTTTGGCAGCTCACTTTTATAAACTTCAGGCCTGTTTTGTCTACTCTATGGGAGAAGAGTCTCGTGACTCAGTATCTCCGGTCTCTGGTAGGAGACCAGAGCTTGCAGTAACCACTTCGGGCAGTGGGTGAAGGCATCACTATGAATGATGGTGAAAACTGTGTAGACAGCTCCCTTCTCTTCTAGAACATTTCTTTGTACCTCACCTGGGCTGCACCTCAATCCATACTGCTATCACTCATGGCCCCAAGACTCCCTCCACCCCACAAATCCTTCAGAATGCTGTAAGAATGCCAATTACTTGTTGTCTGGTAACTCAAGGACTGTGTGGAAGAGGGTGCCCATGGGAGGGACAATCTCAGGCAGGCTGTTTTCTCGTCTCTCCTTTCGAGCAGGGTGGTTTGTCGCCAGGCTCCGGGCCTGAGCCTCCTCCAGGCTTACCAACTTCATGGGCAGGGACAGGGCTGGCAAGGTCAGGCTCTTTGTGATGATACGGCTCTCTGTAAACCAAAGAGAAGAGTTTAGCTGGGGGCAGGTCCGAGCTCCGGGCCTAGTCAGATCTCTCATCTATAGCCCTTCCACTTGAAGTCCTGGACAGAGGGCCGCGTGCCAGTGGTGGCTTTTCTTTGGCACGGGGGACTCTAGGGTAGAGGTTGCCCACTGGAAACTGTCGGCTGTCCTGCTCACAGTAGGTGGAGGGCAAAGAGGGGCGTCAGGAGGTACCTGCTTTCTGCACTTTCCATGGAGTGACTGTTCATAGGCTCATTCATTCATTCTCCAAATATTTATGGAGCACTTACTGTGATCCAGAGTTACAGCAATGATTCCTTAATCCCGAAAACTCTGCTAAGTGCTTTGGTCAGCTAGGAATGTGGCTTAGCTCAACTAAGATGGAGTAGGAGGCTGCCCCTCCTCCCCACAGCTGAGGAACACAATCTCCAAGGCCATGGATGTCTGGAGTCTACTTTTCCTAGGCATCTGTCTCTAGAGGGACAGACTGTTTATATACTGTACTATTCCCTCAGAGGGAGGTGGCTCTTTCCTCAGCACCTACTTGTCTTGTGGTGTTTATATTATAGGCAGTTGTCCCTCTTCTAGGGTATTCCTTTTACAGTGGAAGTGATGAAGGTGTGGCTCATGTACAAGGTTCTCCCTTCTCTGCCAAGGGTTCTTAACTGGAGGCGACCTTCCACACCCTTCCCTCACTCTACCCAAGGATATTTGGCAATGTCTGGAGACATTTTATTTCACTTTGTTTTTCTGGGATAGGGTCTTGTGTAACCCAGACTGGCCTTGAATTTGCTACATAACCAAAGATGACTCTGAACTTAGGATCCTTCTGCATCTACCTCTCCAGTGCTATGACTGCATGTGTGTGCCACCATGCCTGGCTCTGGAGACGATGACGACTTCTTCTTCTTCTTCTTCTTCTTCTTCTTCTTCTTCTTCTTCTTCTTCTTCTTCTTCTTCTTCTTCTTCTTCTTCTTCTTCTTCTTCTCCTTCTTCTTCCCCTCCCCCTTCCCCTTTTCCTTTTTCTTCTGATTAAAAATTATTATCTATATGTGTGAGTGTATGTCATGTGTGTACAGGTGACCTCAGAGGCCAGAAGAGGAGTATTAAGTGGCCTGAATTTGGAGTTATAGGCACTTGTGGGCTGCTGGAAACCAACTCCAGTCCTTTGAAAGAGCAGCAAGTGCTTCTAACCACTGAGCAACCTCTCTAGCACCCTCTGGGGACATTTTTTGATCATTTACAAATGCATGTGAAGGAGCTGTTGGCACCTGGTATCTAGGGCACTTTCTTGATTAATGATTGATGTGGGAGGTCCCAGCCCATTGTGGATGGTGCCACCCCCAGGCAGTTGGTTTTGGGTATAAAAAGACAAGCTGAGACAGCCATGAGGAGCAAGCCAGTAAGACTCCCCCAGGGGTTTCTGCTTCAGCTCCTGCCTCCAGGTTCCTGCCTTGAGTTCCTGCCCTGACTTCCCTTCAGGAAGGAGAGTAAGCTGTGAGATGAATGAACCCTCTCCTCCCCAGGCTGCCTGTGGTCATGGTGTTTATCACAACAATGGAAAGCACACTAGCACACTCTCCTAGTGTGGACTCTCATGACAGCATTGACATCACAGGGGACTTCTTAGAAGTACCCTTTTTTTTTTTTTTTTTTAAGCCACACTCTAGACTGTTTAAAGCAGGAAGATCCAGGATGAGGCTCAGTAATCTGTGTCCTCACAAGCCCATCCATCATCAGGTGAAGGTGACAGACACGTATGTTGTAAAACCACTTTTAAACACAAATGGTCACTGAGATAATTCTGATCAACCAGATTTCTGGTTTTGTTTTTTTTTTTTAATTTTTTTTTATTTTGTGTTTTGTTTTTTCAAGACAGGGTTTCTCCATGTAGTTTTGGTACATGTCTTGGATCTCGCTCTGCAGACCAGGCTGGCCTTGAACTCATAGAGATCCGCCTGCCTCTGCCTCCTGAGTGCCAGGATTAAAGGCATGCACCACTGCTACCTGGCCTGTTATTATTATTATTATTATTATAATATTTTTATAAATGAAGCTCATAGACATTCAAACAGCACAGACCAGTTCAAGCCTAGGGCTCACTGTGCCATTACAAGCCCCACACAAGCACAATTATTTTTGTATGCCTCCTTCCTGATACAGGGCAGGATAAAGTACTCGGGAAATGGTTGCACAGAGAATGTAAGTGTAGACACACGGCCTCTGCTCACTTACGACTTCAAGGGGAAGGCATGAGGCTCTTCTAAACTTAGTGAAAACCACAAAGGAGAAGAACGTTGCCCATACCTTTACATAATAAAGAACTCACTAGAAAGAGAACACTATCTCAGTTCTACCCCAACACCACATCCCCGGGAGAGGCCATGTATGCACCTGATCAGAAACGTGCTAAATCCACATGCAAATGCAACCACTGCTGCATCACACAGATACATACCTAACACCGTCACAGTGGCCAGTATCTGCAACACTATAACAGTGAATTATCACAGATAACAACACACAGCAGTCGGCACACGATACGGTATTCAGTCAGAACTAAAGCCAAGACCACCCTCACTTACTATTAGATGTCTGAGACTGTGTCTCACATAAGCAGCGCAGACTGGCCATAAACTCTCTATGTAGGCAGGGCTGACCTGGAACGCCTGCTTTTCCCGCCTCCACTTTCATACTCACTTTTTTGGGGGGCTCTAGGATTAGGGCAATAAGGGAGGTTAGGTGTGTGGGGACTATGCCAGGGGGAGCCATTACCATCCTGCTGCAGAGGCCCTGGAGCACCACTGTTGAAGATTTGATCGGCGTGATTCAGTATGAACTCAATCACCACCTGCTGGACCCGGACTGCCAGAAAGGCTGCGTCTCCGTTGCAAATAGTGGCTTCGATCTTTTTACACCTGTGCGGGAGCAACATCCAGAGTGACTTCTCCTTATACTAGGAGGCAGTGAGCCTTTTGTATAGTCCACATGTTTTAACTTTTCATGACCAACCAGAGAGAGACTCCCAATGGTCGTGAAGCCCAACCCACTAAATAGACTGGAAATCGCTGTCACCCGACTATAAACATTGTCCATAAATGTACAGGAATGACTTCTTTTTACTTCATGGGGCTCCCCTCCACCTTTATCCAGCTGTCCCACATGCGCTGCATGAAGCAGCTGATTGAAGTTAGAGGCATCTGTGACCTCACCAAAGCCAAGAAAAGCCGATGAGTCCCATGGGGGGAGAAAAGGCCTTTTCAAGAAATGGTAGCATACAGAGCCATAACTTTAGCCACCCTGGGATTATGGCCAACAAATGCCTTTGGAACCAGAGTTTCCAAGCTAGCAGGCCAAGAGCTTAAATTTTTAAAGGCACTTTTGATTCATATATGCTATAAAAAGATGACTGAGCCATAGGTCTGTCTTCCATGGTTTTAGCTTTGAAGGACCCAGGCTTTGTTTCTGCTCAGAGCAGTGCGTGCTGCTATGAGCCCATGGGGTGGTAGTTACCTGAGGAGGTTTGGGGCCCACACCAGGGCCAGGTTCCTGGCATGCATGTTGGTCTTGCTGCTGAATGAGGCGATGTGGGCCAGGTGTCGAATCAGGTATTCCAAGGTCCTGAAACAGTTCATTTCTTTGTTAGATTTTTGGCAGAGTGAGACATGTCAGCACCTACGCGACATCTGTCACTTGAAGGTCCCGTCCAAGTTGGGATTTAAGACACTCCACATTATGAACTTTGAAGGAACAGTGGGAAGAGATCAAGGAAGGTAGCTTTCTCGACTCCAGGGCCACTGACTCAGGATGGGGACAGGTGTCAATGCTGTCAGATGTCATCGGAAACCACTGGAGCAGATCCACAGATAGGAACAGGGAACCACAGAGCGCACACCCTGAGCTGTTAGGGAACAACTTGTTTCTTTTCCACCCTGGGAAAATTCACCTCCCCACGGTCCTCAAAGAGGGTCTCATCTTGATTCTTAGAGGACATCCGTATAGCTACAGACTAACTTGGTTCTTGTTAACGGGCTCGTTTCACAGACAAGTATTTGTTGACCACCACGAAGCTCTTTTTTTTTTTTTTTTTTTTAAAGATTTATTTATTTATTATGTATACAGTGTTCTGTCTACATGCATGCTTGCAGGCCAGAAGAGGGCACAAGATCTCATTAGGGATGGTTGTGAGCCACCATGTGGTTGCTGGGAATTGAACTCAGGACCTCTGGAAGAGCAGCCAGTGCTCTTAACCGCTGAGCCATCTCTCCAGCCCCACGAAGCTCTTTTTAACTCCACATCAAACTCCACCCCCACTTTGAAAGGTAAACAGATGTAGGCAACACTGGGAGAGTTAGTACCATGTGGGCTAATCTGTGGGGATAGAAAGGATGGGGATGACGTCTGGGCTATTTTTAAGGAGCCAGTAGAGATAATAGTGCTGAAGAGGCACCGTCACCCCCAGCTTTAAGGCCATCTGGGACTCCAAAGGTTTGTTTGTAGCATAATTCTGGCTATGAACCAAGGATGTCACCATGAGGCTGGCTTGTGTGATAGGGATGACTTTTGGGGGGGGACTCTGTTGAGTGCCCTGCAAATGGAGACAGGTTTGCCCTTGGCTGCTAATGTCCCTGGTTGGACACCTGCTCATCCTGATAACACTGACCATTAATTTCCAAATGTCCCCAGGAAAGCCACCATCCATTTGCGTCAATTGCCACGCCTCCCCGCCTCCTTGATGTTTGACCACACTCAGTCTGAACGGTTCTTTCTTACCTATAATGGGGTGGGGGCAGCTCCTGGATAACATTCTGGATTCGGGCTAGCTGTCCTTCTTCCGGGCAATGAGACACTGCTTCCTGTGGAGAGGAACATGAAGTACCCAGTGAGCACCCAAGAGCCAGTATCCTTTCTGCACCCGCTGGTCTTATTTAGGACTCAGGTCCTCTAGCCTCACAACTGTGTGCTTGCAGATCCCATCCCAGAAGCATCCTTGTCTGTGTCGGCAGCCAGCCGAGTGCTCTTTCTGAGTTTCACTGAGTCAAGTGTCTTTACCCTGTATGCACACGGGATGGGGGTTGTCTCTGGGTGCCCTCAGATGTTGTTTTGTGTCCAGGGAAGAATGTATAGGATCTAAACGTGTCTTGCAAGGCAGAGAGTCATAGACACTCACACTCAGAGAGACAGCATTAGACAGAGATGTCATAGGGACACAGGTTTACTCAGTCCTCGTGGGTGTGAACATCCACTTACTTGTCACCTAGCCTGTGTGTATTCTATGACTTCCAGTCCTTAGTTGCTGCCCGTTTTGGCTGCCAAGAAGCAGAGAAGACGTGCCTTCCTTATCAGGGATTAGAGTTTTGTCCCCAGGATTTGGTGGCCTCGCCCTGATTTGCTCTCTGCTTATATCCTGTGGGGGCATTTTGTTCCTGTCAGTGCAGGGCCTTGCAGGGGGAGGCAGCGACACCATGAGGACAATGTGATGACAGGCTGGCCGGTGTCTATCTCTCCCTAGCCTGAGGCTGCTGCGTGATGCCAACATCCCTGAAGATTCTACAGTTCCAGCTCCGTTTCCTATCTTGAGACTAGATCCTTGATTAGGATGCCATGATTAAAATGGATGGTCAACTTGACAGGATCTAAAAAAAAAAAAGTCACCGAGGAGACAAGTCTTTTGGCCTGCCTGTGAAGGGTTATCTAGATTAGGTTAATTAGAGCAAGGGGATGCACCCTAAATATGGACAGCACCATGCTGCAGGTGTCCCGAAGACAAAGGAGACACAGAGCAGAGCTCAAGCATTCTTGCTGTTTCCTGACTCAGTGTGGACTAGCTGCCTCCGGCTCTTGCGTTTGCTTTGATAATCACCACCCGCGGCTGCAATAGAAGCAAAAACGAAGATTCAAATCTGTGGGCTTTGTGCACTGTTTGCCCATATTTATTTGTTAGCTAGCATTTCTGGCTTGGGCTGTGATTCTGGAGTGCTGGGTGTGGCTTAGTGGTAGAGCATTTGCTTAGCACGCACAAGGCTCTACCAGCCCAACAAAACAAATAACCAAACACACAGAGTTCCTTGTACTGCACTGTACAATTCGGTGGTGATTATGGCTTCTCAGAAGGGCGAAGCAGGAAGGCCACGAGTTCAAGGCCTGCCTGGGCAATAGAGCAAGTACAAGGGCCTCCCTCCCTAATAACATATCAAGATCCTGTTTTAAAATTCATTGTATTTATTATAATTAGTTGTGCGTGAGTGTATTTACACATGAGATACATGTGAAGGCTGAGAACAGCTTGCAAGAGCTGGTTGTCTCTTTCCATGATGTGGATCCCAGAGATCAAACTCAGGTTATTGCACTTGGCTGCAAGCACCTTTAACCACTGAGCTCTCTTGCTGTCCCCGTCTTAAAATTTTAAGAAGGGCTGTGGCTTTAGCTCAGGGATAAAGGCACTTGCTTACCATGTAAGAGGCCCTGGGCCTAGTCTCTGGCACCACACAACATCACAGCAGCAGCAACAACAACAACAACATTCGTGTTATACTCTTAGCGATAGTTTTTAGACACTTACTGCTCACTGAAATCAGAAACCGATGAACTTTCCCGGACACCCGCCATTTGCTGGGCCCTTCTCTAAGCCATATCCGCTGTGTATGTTCTGACTTAGAAGGATTCTAAGGTCCTGCCGGGGTCCCCCTATCACTCTCACCCCTGTTCCCACACCATTCCTATGCTGAACAAGGTGTGTGACAACATGCTCCCGTTCCCTCATGTATTTATTGGTTTTTAAATAAAAATGTAAAGTAAGCCTATGAGTGATGGGTTTCATTATGACATTTTAATTCTGTGTACACACAGGCACCAGACAGAGAGGTATGTCTTTTGGCTTCCCATGTCCGTCTCTGCCTTATTCCCTTGAAACAGGGTGTCTCACTGAGTCTGGGGCTTTACAGTGAGCCCCAGAAGACCTGGCGTCTCCTGCATCACTGCAGAAGTGCCCGTGACTTTGTCCAGGTTTCTGTGGGTGGTGAGAACCAGCATTCAGGTCCTTGGCTTGCGCATCAAGTGCTCTTACCCACGGAGCTATCTCCCCAGACCACCCCTTTCTCAACGGAAGCAAAACTCTTATCTCTATCTACATGCATGCCCACTATTTGAAAAAGGCAGCCAGACACCGCAATGTGGAAAATTTGAGTTATCTTTTCCCCAGAGGAGGGAAACGTGGGTTGGAGTGTCAATAATCACGGCCCTCACTCTTCGGGTGGGTGTGCCTGCTGCGAACAGAGCCAATGCTAGCACCTGCTGCCCTCTCTACGTTGTGAGACACACAGGATCGAGGGGGCAGGGGCCTGTGAGGCCTCTATGGAGGATCCCTACCCCTGCCGTCTCCTTCCTGGAACATTATTTAGAAAGCAGAATTTCAGGGACCACATTCCCGGCAGGCAGGGAGAAGCTCATATGGAAAGGGAAGGCGAGCCCTCCAGACAACCAGGGCTGCAGAACAGAGCGTGGGTCTTCACGGTTTGCTTCCATGAAGCAACACCCAGGGAGAGTCCAGGAGGCTGCAGGACCAAGCTCTGCGGCGCTTGGCGCCATTTCCCTCTTTATAAGAGGTGTCTAGAGCTGAATGTCGGGGCACTTGCCAACAACAGCAATGGAAAACTGAGAGATGTATTTGGGGGACAGAGGTGCAGGTGGAGATAGCAGCCCTCATGGAAAGTTCCTTCAGGATTTCAGGGAGTGGTTTAGTCATTGTCGGTCTCCTAAGCCAGTGAGTGGTTCTCAACCTGTGGGTGGTGACCCTGCGTGTGTGTGTGTGTGTGTGTGTGTGTGTGTGTGTGTGTGTGTGTGTGTGGCGCTGAATGACCCTTTCATAGGGATCCCTAAGAAGACCAGAAAACACAGATATTCATGTTACGATTCATAACAGTAGCAAAATTACGGTCATGAAATAGCAATAAAAATAATTTTATGGTTGGGGGTCAACCACAACGTGAGGAACTGTATTAAAGGGTTGCAGCATTAGGAAGGTTAAGAAACACTTTCTTAAGCCAAGGGGCAGGTTAACCCCTGATGCTTGCTGGGCTCAGTGAGAACTACCTTTTATTTCCATATTCACAGTCTCTTTCCAGGGCACTCCCCCACCCCTTTCCCCTCCCCCCTCCGCCCTATCTAGAAACTCACTTTCTTTTTTCTTTCCATTGAATTACTTAACCAGACAGGGTCTTTTCTATGTAAGCCAGGCTGGCCTTGAACTCCCAATCTTCCTGCCTCAACCTCCCCTGAGCTGGTATTTATGGGAGGGTGACACCAAGCTTGGCTTAAATCCTCATTTTTCTCTGGGGGGAGATCTGGCCACTGCAAATACACTTTTGGTTTGTGTTCCCAACTGCTCAGATCCTATTGTTGGGCATTTGGGGGACTAGAGTGGAAGCTTTACCCACCCGTGTGTGTGTGTGTGTGCGCGCGCGCGTGCGTGCGCGCGTGCGTGCGTGCGTGCGTGCGTGTGAACTGGAAGAGAAAGCTGGCCAGTTTGGCTAATGTTTCAGTCTCAGAGATCTGGGATGAGCCTGGCACTGCTTGCTCTCTCCATCACTGTTTAGATGATCGTCTTCCTGACCTCTGAGGGGCCAGACAAAGGCAGGGCTCTCTCCGGGCGGTGGGTACTCGCTCTAGGCCTCTGCTTTTCAGAAGCCACCTCTGCCCTACAGCTCAGCTCCTCCTGCCCAGAGAGCCATCCTCGCTAGGGCGGCCCAATGCAAGCGAGTCAGAGAGGCTTTCTCTAACTGCACCCTGGGGGCAATTAGAAAATTAATGTGTGTGTGTGTGTGTGTGTGTGTGTGTGTGTGTGTGTGTACATATGTGCAAGTCAGAGGACGATATGCCTTTTATCTGCTGAGCCACAGGCCCCCCTGGCTACAATTTTAAGTTTTACCAATTACTTAAAAACGACTATAAACCATTTTTATTAAATTATTTGACACCACAACTAAGTTTTTAAAAAGTAATGATCAGAAAAAAATTAAAGAAAGGTTAATTTTCCTTGGAACTGTAAGCCTTCAGTCCCCGGGGGATAATTACTGTTTTCCTCTAGGTAGTCCTTGGGAATGCATCCTTGTTACATCCATGGACGTCATCAGTACCGGGTGATCCAGCCCCCCCTGTGGATCCTCTATCCCAGCTCCCGTCACGGCCACCTTGCCCGTCCCATGCCAGGCACTGGTCTCTACAGGTTCTCTCAAGCTCAGCGTCAACCCCACCCCCAAGCCCAGGCCTTTGGACCTGCTGTTTCTTCTTGTCACCCACTTCACCAGATACTGGTATAATCTGTCCCCTCACTCTATCCCTATCGGTTCAGATTCCGCCTCACGGAGAGAACTCTGGTGACCCTAAAATAGCAGTCCCTGTCATTCGTATCTCCTCAGCCCTGGGCTATTTTTCTTCATAGTGTTTATTAAAAGCTCTCAGGAAACATCTGTGTATTACAAGAGTTTATCATCTCTCTTCCTCTCTCTCTTTCATTTAAATAGCACGTTCAATAAATAAGGATTGTATCTGTCTTGTTCACCATTAAATCTCCAGGCCCCGGAACTATGCCTTCCAGCTGCCTGCAGAAGGTCCCAACAAACAGCTGTTGAATGGAATAAACAAGTGAATGAGTTAATATTTTGCTTTATCCTTAAAAAACGGCAGACAGCCACATGTGGGCCACACCTTGAGGACAGTGCCACCTAGGAGCACTCGCCCTTATGATGAGCACTAGGCCCAAGGTTAAAGGTTTCTGAGGATGAGAGTCTTTCTTTTTTCTTTTTAAAAAGATGTTTTAAAAGATTAGTATTTTTTTTAAAAAATCACATTTATGTGT